TTGCTTCAGGACTTTTTCACGAAGAATAAGATCCGAATTCTAGATTGGCCGAGTCAATCTCTAGACTTGAATCCGATAGAACATTTATGGCAGGAGCTTAAACTAAGAATAGAAACTGTTAATTGTACCAATAAAGCTGCTTTATAGACAAAAATTCAAGAAGAGTGGAGAAATATTTCTCAAGATAGAATCATCAAACTTATTGAATCGATGCCTCTCCTATGTGCTACTAAATATTGATGATAATGTTACATTTGTAACCATTTTTTAACATTTTTCCTTCAGTTATCGTGTTTTTTCTTCATGGTTTGTACTTGGCCGGATACTTATGAAGAAGTAAAAATTGTTATTTTTGTTATAAATAATAATTACTTGTTGTATCAAATTTTTGAATTTTGTATTTCTACTTTACACCTGTTATACATGATTTAATTCCAAAATTATTTTTGGTCGGAAACTTTTGCATGCAACTGTACGTATCAATGGATTCGGAAAGAAATTTCCGTTCATTTTTGTCGTCATATTAATTTTTGTATTTCTTAAAATAATGTAACAAAATTTTTTTGTTATCAACAAATTACATTTCACAAAATCTGTGACCATTTTTTGTTTTACCTCATGAAACCATGAAACTTTTCCCTAAGATCATTTCTTATATCTATTGTAGTTTTTATAGCAGTTTATATAGCATTTTTCTGCTGAAACTTCAAGGGGTGATTTCAACTCCTAAACTTGCGATTGGGCAGCTACAAAAAATACGTATCCCTTATTTTCACCTGCTTAATGTACCCACCAAGTTTCATCAAAATCGGAGACGGACAGTTGGATATATCCTCTTGTAAGTGCTTCCTCCAAACAATCTGTATTTAATTTAATAGAGAACATGTAATAATTAGAGATCGCTACTTCACGTGTATCGAAATACCCGGGTACGTAATACGCTGACACCCAGATATCTAAATACACGAATATCCACGGATATCCGGATATACGTGCACCGAAATACATGGGTATAATATCCAATTATTTTTATATACAAACTTTTACGTAAAGATGCTATTATTCCAAAATAATGATCCTTATTCATTTTGAAAAAATTGATATGCAGTAAAATAAATAAATAAATAAAATATAAACATAAGAAGAATAAATATAATAGAATACATATTTTATTATAGTATAATTTGTAAAACTTTATTTACTAGTTAAAATAAACATTCAAGTCACGGGTAACAATAGGTAATTCGATGTTGCGTGTTCCGCGTACCCGCGTATTTTAATACCTGTTCAAAACCGTGATCTCTAGTAATAATTCTTCTGAAATTTTGTATTTGAGGATTCCGTGTTCTGAACCACAGTGGCGACAATCGCGCGCGCAATGGTCCGATTCCTCGTTCTCTCATCCAAAGAACCGATGGCGCCACCGTGAGGCCTGGTGCCAGTCGAAATCAGTGATGGCCGCGAGGCTCGCGAGGCACATTACGTCGAGATTCCGCTGAGTTTGTTTATCGCAACGTTCTTGTGGCGAGAAGCGTTCCCGTGACTTTCGACCTAATAGTGTCGAACGTGATCGCGGTTCTCGAGCGGTGGATTCGTTCGAATGAGTCGAATTCATCACGGACGGCCATAAAATCGACGCGGTGGGTCCTCTTGACAGTTCTGTTCCGTGTTCAGGTAGCAGTAGCCACTCCAAGTGCCGCGAGAAGTGTCGTTAAACCATCGCCACTCGACCGACGGCTGGTCCTAATGACGTTGTGCATGTGATAGAACGATACAAAAGGAGCCTCGTCAACACGGGGACGGCGACCCCACACCCGTCGGCACTTTTTTTCTCTTTCTCTCTCTGACCCTTGCTGGAGGACACGCGCATCGAAAGCGTCCAAGGTATGTACTACACCGGCAGGCCAGGTTAGGTGCACTGTCGTGTCTCGTGACGCCGTTACGAATCCTGTTCTACCTCCACGCGACTTTCAAATTTTTTTTGAAACCGATGGATGGATGGGTATACCTGGATACTTGCGATTGCCTTTTCCGTGACAAAGAAACTCTCGAGTATTCGTCCTGGCTTGTCTACGAGGCCTGTCAGGCGGCAATTTTGAGGAAAGCTGGAGCAAGTATTCATCCGTCCAACCTAAGAACGATGCTCCGTATCGTGACGGCGTTGCGGACGAATTCGATCCGAATTATTTTACACGCGTACTTTCAATTTTTGTTTAACGCTATGGTGTTCCATGAACAGATACCTGAAATAGACGCGTGCAATTAGTTCCTACCAACTTCGGGATTGTGTAATAGACTAAACTACGATGTTTTGCGTCGATGTCGATCGATTACTACGAACAAAAATTAAAAACGGGTATCTGAGTAGCACCCGAGGATCTGCCATTTCTGTCAACGGAATTTTAAATATTCTTATCCCTTCAATAAAATGTCAACGTCGGATACCGATTTTTGAGAAATTTTGAACGAACGATCGGTGCCTTGTGAACTATGAATGTTTCTTCGGTGAAACTTTTCGATTTCAGTAGAGCAACCATTCTTTATATCAGGATTGTTTTATTCGTGGCTATTGCGAGGTACAGAGACTCTCAAAAGCCAACCTATCAACCCTATGAAGTAAAAAGGTATAATTGGTGGTAAATATTGTTTTTGGAACCTCGAATAAAATTGAAAACTTCACAACATATGGATTTGAACTACGGAAGTTTGTAAATTTGTTTTTAGTTGATACTAAAGCTACTAAACCGCTAATATTTTTTTTCCAAAGCCACTCAATCAACGATTAATTAATTTTACTGACGAATTACTCCACTCCTCTTCCTTTTCATTTCGAGGATATAGTTGTACGTATAATAACCGCGCATTGAACTCTGTAATTTAGTGTTGAACTACTGCATATTTGTGTGAAATTTCATCGAGATTGGTGTCTGCCAATCCTCGTCAATTAACACCTACGTTATGATTCCAATGAATGGTAAGAGTCTACGGTTAGTCAACAGGAAGTACTCGTTATCAGATCGATGCGTCGATAGGGACGAGCCTTTTACATTCTCCACGAGCAGAACGTTCCCTTATTTATTTACCGTTATGACGTATTATAACGGGCAACGATAAGCTCGAAGCAAATAAGATTAACTTCATATGCGTCTAATGTAATATAACGGACACTGTCCCGGTGAGTGCGACCTATCTGGCAACGGAAGTGTTTGGTTGTCCCCCCCCCCGTTAAACGGTGCCCCACTGACACGCGTTGCTCCCTCCGCTAGGCAACGTTCCAAAATATTATCCTTGATTGATTCCTAGTCGTGCAACCATTTCTTACTTACCCAAGCCACGTAATCACTAGAATCGATCTATAATCCGATCTATAATAATTTAAACTTGCGTGATGGTCTTCAACGATTGACATTTATCCTCGAGATTGATATACAGGGTGTCCTAAAAATGTTGGAGGTCATTGAAAGGGGTTGTTCAGGAGGCGATTTGAAACAACTTTTTCCTTAGCGAAATTGTTGTTCGAGGCTTCGTTGAGGAGATATTAACGGAAAACACTGACCAATCAGCGGGCGCTCTATTGGCATACTCGCGCTCTGATTGGTCAGTGTTTTCCGTTAATACCTCCTTAGCGAAGCCTCAGACAACAATTTCGCTAAGGAAAAAGTTGTTTCAAATCACCCCCCGAACCACCCCTTTTAAGGTATTACAACATTTTTGGGACACCCTGTATATACAGGGTGGAGGTGATTTGGAACAACTTTTTCCTTGGCGAAAATGTTGTCCGAGGCTTCGTTAAGGAGATATTAACAGAAAACACTGACCAATCAGAGCGCGAGTATGCTGGTGGAACGAAGGCTACACGCTAGGCGGCCGCGCTCATATGCTACCGCGGCCGCTCCACCAGCATACTCGCGCTCTGATTGGTCAGTGTTTTCCGTTACTACCTGCTTAGCGAAGCCTCAGACAACAATTTCGCTAAGGAAAAAGTTGTTTCAAATCACCCCCCGAACCACCCCTTTCAAGGTGTTACAACATTTTTGGGACACCCTGTACATACACGATCCTGCTCGAACCACCTTAATCTATACGTTCCATATTCCTAAATAGCCCCCAATAAATTATTCACACCGATCCATGGCATTTTTCTAGTCTTACGTCCTGCTTTACGAGTAAAACGGTAAGATGAACAGAACGGTAAGATTATGATTCGTGAGAGTAAATGAATGAAATTAAGAATAAAGAATAAAGTAATAACTGTGAAACCAATTTGGCCGCGCCTTTTCGACGGTCCGTTTCGCGTATTCCCCTGCACGCACCGAAACTGTTCCACATTCCACGTTCCTCTGTCTCCTCGAGCGATCTTATACACCCCCCCACCTGGCCCACTTATTGTATTGATTCAAACTTAAGCATCCGCGCATTTCTCATTCCTTCGCCACTTCCTGCTCGATGATCTTCCTCCTTGTCCTTCTCCTTGATCCTTCCTGCAATTTCTTTATCGTAAACACGGCAATTTTTCCAAACGTGAGAAAATGGCTGATGGTAATTGTTGGGGACTTTCATACTGGGGGATCTCTCCAACCATTGTTCGAATCTGTTCCCTCGTTCGACTAAAGGTGGATTTCAGACTATACGACACGGACCGGCACGTTCCGGCAACGACACGTACCGGCACCGATACGATAAAACATTAACACCTTGGCTGCCAAGCTAAAGCTTGTGAAAATTTCTATACACTTAAAATTTTGTCTAGACTATTGTAGATTAGATAATTTAACATCTCTCGTAGCATTTAATTTTTTAACGTCGGCAAATTCACGAAACCTGTCCAGACTTATTTTCGCTATTGTCTGACCTTTGAAATTTATTTTTTTAGTTCCTTAATAGAAAGTCCTGTCACCCGTTTCTGGGTGACGTAGCGACGAACGTGTTAAAACACGCGTTTTAATGGAACTATTCACACTTAACAGACACCGACTTGAACGTTCCGGCAACAGGAATAGTGTGAATACTGAATAGTTCCATTAAAACGCGTGTTTTAATGTTTTGTCGTGTCGGTGCCGGTACGTGTCGTATAGTCTGAATCGACCTTAATGCCACAACGTTTCCTTTATTATTTACACAGGCATGTTTAAATATTATTCGTGCCTAAGCGTAGATGTACTAACGCTTTTTTTTATAGCGTCCAATAATCCAATAGCGAAAAAATTGATGCTCTTTACACTTTTTGATTATTAAAAGTTTGAAAAGCATCGCCGCGAAATTAATTCTTGGATGATTAAGTTACTCGAGGTAGGAGGGCCCTGTTCCTTTTATAGCCCCTGTCCTTATGCGAGACACTATGACCTATGCCTGGAGGTGTTGCATTATCGATCGTTGATAATTTACGTTATCGATCTCCAATTAGTCTCACCGCTACATGCATATTGGACCTCGTTTGGTCAACTTCCGTTGGGTCGCTCACCTTCGATGACGAAATAATCGATAATTTATTTTATTTCGTTCATTTAGTAATGGACGACTTGCTTTTATAGTTGGATTATAAATACTGGTAACCTTTAATATATCGTCGTTCGACATTAAAAGGGTTGAATTGCCTTTGAAAAACGTTTTCTACACCAGTTTGCTGATCACTTCGCGGAAGGATCGAGATAAGATCTGACGATAAATAAAATTCGCCAGCGGCGCAGGCAAATGTGTACTTGCACTCCGCCGTGGTTATCGTAAAATATCGACTGACCTGTGCAGAAACCTGCACATTTTTCCCTCTGTTTCTCTCGCAGCGTGTTGCACAGCATTGCACGTTGCATTCCATAATGCGATCTGTTTTGCGCCGATTATGTTAACCTGATCGCCGGAAAAGCTCGTAACGCGAACCAGCTTCCGTACAAAGCTTTATAAAACGAACTTTAATGAGATTACATAAGTTATCCCGAGAGGATTTGCTTCTTCAGTTTCTACTCGATTTAACGTTGCGCCCCGTTCCGTTCGCCAAGCAAATTCCCGCTTTTCTGTACTCGATATTCCGAAGATATTGAATCCATTAATTCGTTATCGATACGAATTAAATAGTATTGAAATATACGCTCAATTTATACGGCTCGTTACGTTCATTTGAAGTATTTCTCAAGGCATCTATATTTACATTTCTTTAAGTAAAACTGGTCTTGGGATGCGCTGGAGTGTATATAGATGGAGGATATGGATTTTGTATATAGTCCCATTCTGGGAATACATTTGGAGGTATCAAATTTTTAACATTTTTGGTGGAATGAGATGTTCAACATCCTTCCATTTTGATACTTGAACCGAGGGAAAAATTAAAAATTGAATGATTTTTCTTTCTTAATAAACTGAGTATCATAGAAAATATTTAATTTTATTTGGTCACGCAACGAAAAAAATTATGCACCACTGGCCTACATGCTAAAGAGCTTCTGCGGTCTCCCTACCATTTCTGATTCACCCTGTCCTTTAGAGCGGGATGGAACGAGCGAGTCAAAGGGACTGAAAGCAAACGAGGAACGGTACACTCGGACGCAAAAAAAAAAGACTTATGCAAGAGTCCTAACGCAGCTAGACTACATAGCAGTGCTAGTGGAGACACCGAGGCACTATCGCTAGCAACGCGTTTGTTATCGATACTCGACAAAATACGCGGCGCTCCCGCGATTCGCATCGTGTAACAGTCGATGGCGAACGCTTTTTGCGCAACTACCTTGCGCACATGCGTCACTTGGGTTAGTTCCTCCATTGATGGCGCTAGTCTTCCGGAGCGATTCTCTCTATCCGGGCGTAGGAGACAGAGGAAGGCATTGATACTTTGTCTCGTTGCGTTTTTTCGAAACTTTGTAGGAGCCATTTCACGTGTACGATTCACGTATTCCATTTATCACCTTCAAAAAGAAAGTAACGCGATACAATCGCTGGGGAACGTGTCCCTAGATTGAGAACTTGCGTCGGTCCAATAATTGGATACATCGATGACTACAGATTTCTGCAGTCACTTCTCCAAAGTTGTTCGCGGACATTACAGAAATAGAGGTCAGTAACCCTCAACGATCCATATGATTCTTCTTGTTTCAAGTTTCACTATAAATGACTACATTATGTTTATTTTATTTTTAAGTATTCATATCGACGCAATAGTTGATCTAATGCAGGGCCGGCGTGACCTTTTGCGGGGCCGGGTTCAAAAATTTTGCGGGGCCTGAATTCAAATTCAAATCCTACACTTAAATTTTACAACGCTGAATTATTTATTTACAAATGCTGTTACATATCTTTTATAAGATGAATATTAAATAATAATACTTTGATGATTTTTGTCACTCCTTTAAACTGAACCATCGCTAATAAAAAAATGTCTTGCATCTGTTAAGGGTGCGCAGGACCCAGAACCAAACTCTGAGTTGACTTCAGCGACAGTTGCGGGAAAAGTAGGAAACTCCGGGATAAGGACAGAGAGGGCGATACAATTGCAGGAGAGACGAGGACAGGACGATTAGGCTAGCATTTTTTCCAGGATATTGAAGCAAAGAAGCAATATTTTCTAATAATTCTGGTTTTTATATATTCGTCACACTGGTCGCGGATGCGACCCCAAGGCTTTATTTTGCAATTTCGGCTTTAAAACTTTATAAACAATAAAAGTATGTTTGCTGTCTTCATTTTATTGTTTATAAAGTTTTAAGGCCGAAATTGCAAAATCAGGCCTTGGAGTCGCATCCGCCAAAGTGTAACGAATATATTAAAACCAGAATTATTAGAAAATATTGCTTCTTTGCTTCGTTGCTTCAATATCTTCGAAAAAAATCGCCCTGTCCTCGTCTCTCCTGCAATTTTTGTATCGCCCTCTCTGTCCTTGTCCCGGAGTTTCCTACTTTTTCCGCAACTGTCGTTGAAGTCAACTCGGAGTTTGGCTCTGGGTCCTGCTCGCCCTTAATCAAAATTTTCGTAGACCGCGGGACCCCTCGAAACGCGGGGCCGGGTTCCGGCGAACGCGTTGAACCTGCCTTGCGCCGGGCCTGATCTAATGGGAATTATATAATAATAGGTGTGTGCCAGATTCCCACAAATTTTCGGGATTCCCGAGAATATTCGGGATTCTCGAGTTTATGCGGGATCCCGAGTTGGTTCGAGATTCCCGAAAATACACGAGATCCTGCAAAAATCCGGGATTCCCGAGAATGTACAGGATCTCGAAAATGTTTGGGGTTCCCAACAATGTACGGGATACATAATAAAATAATATCTGAGATTGCCGAAAGTGTGTTATTCTTGAAAATTTCAGCAATCCGAATGTACGGGAGTTCGAAACTCTCGGGAATCCCGAATGGTTTCGGGATCCCGGAAATTCACGGGAATCCCGGATATATTCGGGATTCTGAAATTCTCGGAATTCCATCCCGATCTCGGGAGGAATTCCCATCCTGATCAGGATCCCGCACACCCCTATATAATAATTAAAATAAAATTAAAATCATTACGTTTCAGGATTTCAATGATAGCAAATGTAGAAAGTCTGTAAAACCAGCAATTTTCCAAAGGAATACCTAAATACACCTGTCGGACTAAATACCATGCCAGACGAACGTTTTCCCTGCATTTTGTGACCGAGCGTTTTCGGCGATGCGTTGAAAAGACGGGGGTCCCGAACAGTGGGTCCTCAACCTCAAGATTAATCATAATCCATTCCTTGTCTCGAGGTGAACAACCCCTTTTCATGTCTCCTTGTAATCATCCCTCGTTTTTATTAAGTTACTTAGTAGAGTTTAAACTCTTTAATTATCGAAATAAATAAGTCGCAAAAATTGCCTCCGGCAACAAGCGAATCGACCCTCGGAACACACGAGTTTGACAAACCGGATCTAAATTATTTCATGCGACATTCACGCAAGGGTCTTCCTTGAAGAAGATGAAGAAGATCCTCAGGATCTTCCTTTTGCAACGGACCATCACGGTCCAGATGTTTGGTCCCAAAACGCTAAAAAACCCTCGTCTGCCATGTCTAACATCCCTTTCAAAACATTAGATCAACAAACGTCCCCTCTTTTTTTACAAAAAGTACACTTAACGCTTACATGTGACCTCTGCGTCGGTCGAAGAGGCAGACGAGTTCCAAATCTCCTAAATCTCCACTGTGTACATTGTAGCGAAGACGTTAGAGGCGAGATGTCGGTCAGCAGAGGCACCAAACGCGTTACCTTGACGATACGACAGCGGCTCGACGTGATACGGAAGCTGAACGATGGTATTGCGGCAACCGTATTGGCCAGCGCGTACGGTGTCAACACCACAACAATCCGACGGATCAAGAGGGACGAAGATCGGATACGCCAAGAGGCGCAGACATTAGCGATAAAGAGCTGCACCCGACGGAGGATTCGGAAGCCGGTGCAGGACGATTTAGAGGCGCGTCTTTATTCGTGGTTTCTTCAGGAACGTGAATTAGGTAATCACGTCAGCAATGCAGCGCTCCAAGACAAAGCGATGACGCTTCATGGCGAGTTCGGAGGTCCCTCGAGATTTAGAGCGTCCAATGGTTGGCTATGGAACTTCAAAAATCGCTATGGCATCCAATTGAGTAAGGTCTACGGCGAGAGAGCTCACACAGAGACAAGGACGGAGGAGAATGACTTTTCTCATAACTTCCAACGGCGACGGGAAGAGGAGGTCATAGAACTGGAGAACATCTACAATATGGCTGAAACGGGTCTCATGTGGAAGACTCTACCCCAACGAGCGTTACTCCACGCTGGAGAACTGAAAGTGTACGGAAATAAATCGAGGAAGGATCGAGTCACCGTGGGCTTCTGCGCGAACGCAACTGGAACGCACAAGCTTCCTCTAGTTTTTATTAACAAATGCGAAAAGCCCCGAGCCCTGAAGCACTGCTGGAATCAACTACCAGTCGTTTTCAAGTCCCAGAGGAACGGCTCGATGAGCCACCACGTGTTCGCCGACTGGCTGGAGAACCATTTCAAACCCGTCGTCAAGAGACGGCAGCTGCAAAATGGTACTTGTGGAAAGATACTCCTCCTGGTGCACAGTAGCACAGCTCACGAGGTATCGCGGGAACTAAGGAGAGAGGACGACGATATCGAGATTGTTGTTCTACCGACGAACAATTCGTCCATTTTGCAACCAATGGATCGAGGAATAATCGCGACGGTGAAAGGATCCTTTCGTTCCCGTATGCTGAAGAGGCTTTTGGATTTTCCTGGGGGAGTCGGGGAGTTCTACGCGGACTTGGACGTGAAGGACTGCATCGATTTCCTCAACGACGCCTGGATGGAGGTGACGCAGCTCCAGATCCGTAATTCGTGGAAGAATTTGGTGGCCAATCAGGAGACCGTGAAGGAAGAAGAGAACGATTATCATGATATACTGCAAACTAAAGCTATAGTAGAGACACTGGAAACGATCACGGGGGAGACGATCCCTGAAGACGAAATCGAGGAGTGGCTCTCTACGTGTGACGCAAGTGAACTCGACCAAGATGAAACGGAAGTCAAAGAGGAACCGTCTCAGAGAAGATTCAGGGACGAGGAAGAAATCGATCGATCGTTCAGGAATATTATTTTGTGGTCCCAAACTGAACCTGATTTTGTGCAGCTGCAGGCGTATGCGTTGAAGAACTATTACGACCAAGCGTGAAGGTAGACAAGAATTTATCAATCGTATTATTAACAGTAGCAATTCTTTACTTCGTGTAACAAGTAATACGTGTACACGTGTACACATCTGGAAACGACTAAAGTATTAGATTGTCCCGAAAGTTTTTTTTCGAGTTGCACTCAATTATTTTATGTGGCCGTGTTTATATAAATAGACAATCTAAATTCTTAGATGTTGATGTTGGAACAGTACTGGAGCCACAATTCAGTAATATAACATGAAACATGAACTACTGTGCATGTATCACTTATTAATAAAGCGAAAGAAACTTTTGGGACAACCTAATAGATTCAACTTTTTAATTAATAATCGTACGACAATGAAATATCAGCATAATAAAATAGCAGCAGTACGACACTGAAATAATAGCATGTATTATGCTGTATTGTCCTTCTTTTAATTATTAGGTTGTCCTAAAAGTTTCTTTCGTGAGTTGCACTCAATTATTTTATGTGGTCGTGTTTATATAAATAGACAATCTAATTTCATAGATATTCACGTTGTAACAGTAATGGAGCAAAATGAATCGTGCACAATTCAGCAATGTAACATAAAACATAAACTATTGTGCATGTATTACTTATTAATAAAGCGAAAGAAACTTTTGGGACAACCTAATATTTAGATAATTTAACCGGTTTCGTATGTTACTATCATTAGTTTGTATAATTCTTACCCTGCGTTTCAACTATCGTCTCAAAGTATCGAGTATTGCTGAATAATTTCAATACTCCCCGCTGGATGACACGAAGACGACATCGACGTCGACCTAAATACTAGTCATTCGAAGCGATTGTAAATCAATTTGTTGCAATCTGCCGCAATGCCCGTAAACCGATTCCTTTTATTAATCACTGAATGTATGTCGTTCTCGTGATAGAAACTAGCCGCTCATAACGCGAATCTAATTGCTGTCATTCGAGCGCTGCCATTATGTAGACTTATGTCTCTTAGATGTTTGTCAATAACTAGTTTATTTAGAGACATTCCATACAAAGCAACGATTCAGAGAATAACTTCCACCGCTCTTCTGATAGTATTTGCTTAGAACCTTACGATATTTCTTTATTCTAAAAAGCAAGTTCCAACGATTGTCAGCGTTATACTAACTCGTACGAACTCTTCAGGCGATCAAGGAGACAAAGGTGACCCAGGACAACATGGATTGCCTGGAATAGATGGTCGACCAGGTCTTCCTGGTGCCAAAGGAGAGCCAGGTTTTCCAGGAGTGCAAGGACAGCCAGGATTGCAAGGTCTTCACGGCGAGATTGGTTCACCAGGACCACCTGGGCTTCAAGGGCCAAAAGGCGAGCCTGGAGAACCTGGTCGTGATGGTAAATGCAATGAAATAGTCAGGGATTCGAACCCTAACCCGTACCGGGTTCCGTTAATTCGTATTATAGAATAACCCATCTAACCAGGTAACACAAGACATCTGTAACCCGAGTAACCTGGTTAACCCGGTTGTATGCGCGTTATAATAATACAGTAAAAACCATAGCTATTACCATGTTTCTAAACGGTAATCAATTTTCTTTCAATATTGTCTGTTTTCTACTCTACTGTCCATCCGCGAGAAGAAGGTCATGCAAGTGCTTACATTTACTCGTATGTGTGTGTGTTCATATTTTGTATATATTTATTCCGTCTTTAACTTATGTCTGTTCATTATACATTTATTGTGCCAAATAATTGTTGTAGTTTAAAAAGAAAGTACAAATACCGTTTCTAACAACACTCGAAAATTAATCAATTCTACATTCATTATATACTCGTACATTTTAAACAATCTACTTTCATTTGATTTGAATATTGCTGTAAGTTCACATATCTTTAACTTGTCTGGATGTCTAGGATGTCCTCTTCTACTAGTAACCCACTCCGAGCAGGTTAACCCGCTCTTCCTACAATTCAACAACCGTTCCTTCGTGGTTCGTATGAGTTACAGTAATCTTCCCTTCATTAACCGGGTTTGGGTTAGGGTTCAGCAGCGGTTCGAATCCCTGGAAATAGTAACGTTGTTGTTGGCTCGTTTTGGTTAAACGAACCAAATTTAAATGATTCGTTTAAGGTTTACCAGGTTTAGCAGTTGGTTCCTCGATACCAGGCCCACCGGGTCCCGAGGGTCCTCCAGGGATACCTGGGGAAGATGGTCTTCCAGGAGAGAAAGGGGAACCAGGTCCTTCTGGTCAACCAGGTCTACCAGGACCGAAAGGTGAAATTGGTTCACCTGGATCCATGGGATTGCAGGTAAAGTCACGAAATTCTACACGCATTCACATTTACCTATTCTTGCCATTCTTAACTTGTTGAAGGGAATTTAAAATTAAAAAATGCTCTGATTTTTGCTCTCTGACTCTTAATATAGGACTGTATTTCCTAGCCTTTCGTTTGGTTATTATGAACAGGGTCCACCTGGTGTACCTGGAGAACCAGGTCCCCCAGGACAACGTGGAAACGATGGTTTGGCAGGGACTCCAGGAGCTCCAGGGCTCGATGGCAAGCCTGGAGCAAAAGGTGAGACAGGTGAACCAGGAGAGCAAGGTCGTGTCGGGCCACGTGGCTTCCCAGGAACCTCTGTAAGGCTCAATTATTAAATATCAAAATTGGTTAGTTTAGATGTCAATGGAATATGTCAGAAATGTTTGTGCTCAGGGTCCTGCAGGTCTACCAGGCAGTCCTGGCTTCCCAGGAGTGGAAGGACGACCTGGACCACCAGGTGCTCCAGGCCCACCGGGACCTCCAGGACCAGCTGGATCGAATGAAGATATGTTGAACACAAACAAGGTTTCGAGAAGCATAGGCAGTCCAGGAGCTAGTGGGCCACGAGGTGTACCAGGGTCTCCAGGACTGGTAAGTAGTTGGAGAGAATATTGTAAGCGACTGTATAGGGACTCTATGTATAAGTTTGGGTAATATGTGTGGTGGGAGAGCTTCGTGCTCTTTCATAAATAGAAACAGCGAGAGAGGAGAAACACAGAGAAAGATTACGAGAACATTCGGAAGGTGTGCGATTGCGAGTCGACGTGCGTGTCGAGTGTGATCATTGCGATTGACTATAATTTGAGATTAAGAGAAATATACTGAGTTTGTGTTTAGGAGGAGGAATACAATTAAAGTGTATTTTATTTATAAAAGAACCTTACAATATCAAAGATATTCGAAGATGGATATGTTTGTTATCGCTTAACGTCAGCCTGGCGAGCGAGGACCTCCTGGAGATCGAGGTCCAGAGGGTCAAATCGGACCACCTGGAATACCAGGGAAGGATGGAGCGCCAGGACTACAAGGACCACCCGGAGTACGAGGTCAGACAGGAATGCCAGGTCTTCAAGGGTCACCAGGTCGAAGCATCACCGATTCGGAAATTCGAGATATATGCACGAGCGTGCTGCGAGGTGAATGTTGATTTAAATTATTTTATTTCGAGAAGACAGCAACGACAATGAGACAGTAACTTGGGAACAATGCGTAGATAAAGAAATAAGGGTTGCTGGTGACAACACCCTCGAGGTGACTCGTTCTGGGTACGATATTTGTATACAGAGAATAGAAAGATAATTCATCCTTTTATTGCCACGCGCATATATAGAGCAGATGACTGAGATGGCAGCATTGATGCAAGGTCCGCCTGGTCCACCTGGTCGAGGACGTCCAGGCCGTCCTGGATCACCTGGTCCCCAAGGTCGCCCAGGTACATCCCCACGAAAAAAGGACCGTCACCCCCATTTACTTCCATTTGATATCATAACTGTAAAATACGATGTCAAAGATCGGTGAATCGAAATGGAAAGAATTATAATTGTAATACACCCTATAGTGTACCTATAATACACCCTATAATACACCCTATAGTAGTGGTTCACGTGCACGAAGATGCGTGTTCGATTAACGATCGATTGATCGATCGTGGATTAACAAAATCACCTGCGCCGATAAAGACGATGGAATCCTGCATGTGTCACAGAGAGGCTGAAAGAACTAACAGAGGGTCTACGAGGGCCACCCGGGTTGCTGGGACTGGCACGACAGGGCCGTCCTGGTCGAGCCGGAACCCAGGGCATCCCAGGTACCTACCTCCACACCTCAAAGGCAAGCTATATCGAATCCAAATTTGAGAAACCTTCGAATAAATATTTTAACCCTTTGCAGTCCAGATTTGCTGATGTCATTACTTTTCGGTGAACATTCGCTCGCGTTATGCAAATTGGAAAAAGTTTCATAGTTTACGCGAGAAACGTTATTCCGCATAAGTATCTTATGTCGTGTAATTTAATTTGGGTATATTAAGGGTTTAGTCGCGGTCAGGAAGAGGAAACGATATTTCTTTGTGATTTTTTTTGTAGTTATTAAATAATAATTTGCATAAGTAACAATTAAGTATATTATAAAGCATGTTTTAAAGAACTAGAAAACATTTTTTGTTTTAAGAAACGTTTAATTTGTATCGCAATAACAGCCGATGACGTAGACGATGATTTAAAAACATAGGTTTGCGGTGAGCAAGATTTCTCTACATTGGTTTACCTGAAAACAAAAACAAAGGTAGATTTCGAAAATAGATTAGTCTAGCGGGTCCCTGAACGAAGGATTTTGAAAACAATTAATTTAAAACAAGATGGCGTACATTTGAAGTTGATTTTCAATTTTTGCACTAAAATTAAGCGATTCAATACAGGATAAAAAAAAAGTATACAAGAAAATAAAAAATCCTTCGATCAGGGACCCGTTAGTCCAATATATTTTCTAAATCTACCTTTAGTTTTGTTTTCAGGTGCATCACTTTGAAGAAATCTTACTCACCGCAAACCAAGTGGCCACCAACGCCATCGCCTGTTATGACGAAATGAATTAACCTTTTCTTAAAACAAAAATTCTTTTATAGTTCTTTAAAACATACTTCGTAATATATTTACATTTCATTAATAAAAATTATTATTTAATACCTTAAAAAAAAAACACACATGAAACTGTCCGTTTCCATTTTCCTGACTGCGACTAACCCCTTAAATCTCTCAACTAATATTCTTCCACTATCCATTAAACGTTAAATTTCAAAATTTGGATTGAACATATCGTGCCTCTGTGGTACAGATATTCTTCCTGCTTCCCTTTTACACCCATATAACAAATTTTGCATCTACATAACAAATTTCACGTCGTGCCAGCTGCACCGACCTTTTGCACGTTAGAGTTTCATTAGACAAGTTCAAATATACAACATAGCATATTTTCAAAACGTAGACGCTTGCAAAGAAATTTTCTTTCGATGAAATAGTTGTATTTTATGAAATCCAATTATTTAGGTGATCCAGGCACTCCAGGTTTACCAGGGGAACGAGGCTTCGTAGGATTGCCAGGCCCTCAAGGTCCAATGGGTCCTCAAGGTCCATCTGGCGAACGGGGAGAGAAAGGTGATAGAGGACCGGAAGGTGTCGGCGTGGAAGGCCCGATCGGTCCAACAGGACTGCCTGGTAATGCACATTCCTTTTTTTTTTTTAATCGTTATCAGTCATTATGGTTAGAATTTTCATTCACGAGGGGTGCGTTAATAGGACCAGCTGGCAAAGATGGCGTCGGATTGCCTGGAAGGCACGGAGAACGGGGGGAACCGGGCAGACCAGGTAAAGAGAAAAAAGATACAAACACGTTTTTAAGATCTGGTACTGGTATTTTTAGTTTCGTTTATCGACAGGCCTTCCTGGGAGCAGAGGCCTACCTGGACCCCAAGGGTTACCTGGATTTTGCGAGTTTTGCAATTATCCCAGTGCCAATTACTTGCAGTATACCCGTGGCAACGAGAAAGGCCCATAAAAACCCTAATTCCGGCACAGAGAGTGCAATTAATAAGTACTATGAAATAAAATTGACGAGCCTACGAACAACGAACGTTTACGTTCGGCAATGTTTGTAGAATCGTGTACAATCACTGCCATACGAAAATACCATCTTGCATCGATAACGTATATTTAAGTATGCTAATTTGCCTTCGAAAATGATCTATACGAGGTACTATTTAATATAAAGATTAATATATTACAGACGGATGAAGTGTTTGTACATGTCGCCCTGAATAAATATTTTTCAAGTAACAACAAAGTGGACCAACAATCGAAGGGAAAATAAAAAATGCCTGACACAATTCCCCAAACGTGAAAACAATGAAACCCTAACCCATTTTATTTGCCACGTACTAAAGCCAAACGCTGAAAAGAAATATTTCAAACATTGTACAAATGCTTAAAAAATAATTGAAAATTTTGCTCACGCTTTCGTTCTCAAGCACGTTTTCGCAATAGTAAAAAGAAATAGGTTAAGAACGTATGCATACAAAATTCTGTATAAAACAAGCAAGATGTTTCTTACTCCAGGAGCATGACACTGGTCGACGAATGAAGCGAACTACATCATGTCGATTCTAACAAGGGAACATATCCAACTGTCCGTTTCCGATTTTGATGTAACTTGGTGGGTACATTAAGTAGTTGAAAATAAGGGATACAAATTTTTTATACCTGCCCAATCGCAAGTCTAGAGGTTGAAATCACCCCTTGAAATTTCAGCAGAAAAATGCTATCTCGAAAACTACAATAAATGTAAGAAATCTTCTTAGGGAAAAGTTTCATGGTTTCATGAGGTAAAACAAAAAGTGGTCACAGATTTTGTAAAATGTAATTTGTTTATAACAAAAAAATTTTTTGTTACATTATTTTAAGAGATACAAAAATTTATATAACGACAAATATGAACGGAAATTTTTTTCCGAATCCATTAATATATAATACGATACATTTGCCTCCTACAGTGTTGTAAATTTTCGTATAATATTGTACGCAGGCCGCGCGAATCCACTGAGCAGAATGTGAAATGCATATGTTCATGTATAGACATACGGGTGGCTATTAGTATGAGATACATATTTATTAAAAATTATACGATTATTTAAAATTAACAATAATAATGTTAATTATATTTCTACGCATTGCAGTATGATATTGTTAGGAAATAATTTATTGCAAAGTATAAAAATATCGTACGGGCATAAAATATCAATTTGTGGTAATACGGTTTTATGGAAATGTTACCATCATTACTTGTGCGTGATGTCAGAAATCACTTTGCTTTCAACATTTCTTTACGGAATACCATTTCTGCGAAACTTACGTTCCGTAAATTCACATTCTTCATATTATTAATATCTCATTTCTTGCATCGTAATTGAGATAAATAATTCACCACCGAAAAATATACATGCCAAATATACTTAATTTTCATACAAAATGAAACGATATCAATGATTAGATTTAACAAAATCGCCCTCTCCCGATAACAATCATGTATATAACAGTGAAGAAACTGATAGCCTTCTCGAATTTAATGTCTGCTACTCTTCTAACTTTTATATGAATTTTGTTATTAATAGGTATTAATTTTCAAGCATCAAATTATTTCATAACAATATCATACTGGAATGCATAGAAATATAATCAACATTGTTATTGTTAATTTTAAATGATCGTGTAATTTTTAATAAATATGTATCTCATACTAATAGCCACCCGTATGTCTATACATGAACATATGCATTTCACATTCTGCTCAGTAAATTCACGCGGCCTGCGTACAATGTTATACGAAAATTTACAAAACTGTAGGAGACAAATGTATTCTAATATACAGTTGCATGCAAAAGGTTCCGGCCAAAACTAATTTTGGAATTAAATTATGTATAATAGATGTAAAGTACAAATACAAATATATCATAGTAAAGAGCTTTTATTATACTATCGAAATGTACAATTCAAAAATTTGATACAACAAGTAATTATTATTTATAACAAAAATAACAATTTTTACTTCTTTATAAGTATCCGGCCAAGTACAAAACATGAAGAAAAAACACGATAACTGAAGGAAAAATGTTCAAAAATGCTTACAAATGTAACATTATCATCAATATTTAGTAGCACATAGGAGAGGCATCGATTCAATAAGTTTGATGATTCTATCTTGAGAAATATTTCTCCACTCTTCTTGAATTTTTGTCCATAAAGCAGCTTTATTGGTACAATTAACAGTTCCTATTCTTAGTTTAAGCTCGTGCTATAAATGTTCTATCGGATTCAAGTCTAGAGATTGACTCGGCCAATCTAGAATTCGGATCTTATTCTACGTGAAAAACTCCTGAAGCAACCTAGACCGATGTTTTAGATCATTGTGGTCGTCTAACATACTTTCTCCCATTTGGCTGACATTAGGCAAAATACTGTTTCACGTAGACTTACAGAAGTTGGATTTTTTGAACGCGTTGGAGTTACAAAACCACTGATAAGTAAAAAAAATAAGAAGGCCAGATTAGAATTTGCAAAGAAACACCGGAGTTGGACAGTTAAAGATTGGAAGAAAGTGCTGCTTTCAGATGAAACTAAAATTAATCTATTTCGAAATGATGGGAGGGAGAAGGTATGTTAGACGACCACAAGACACTAGGAATGATTCCCGATATCAAATACCAACAGTGAAGCACGGTGGAGGTAGTATTATGCTTTGGGTGTATTTTCTTGGAAAGGCGTCTGTCCAATTTACAAAATTGAGGGTACTATGAATGCTCCTATGTATAGGGATATTCTATCAGAACAAATGCTACCTTATGC